TCCCTGCATCCATCCTCCCTTTCCCTCCTCCCTCCTCCCTCCTCCTCCTCCCTCCGAGGGTGGGGCCTCCAAAGTCCCAAAACAGTGCGGTGACGGACCCGGTCGGACGGGGCCAGGACGAGGACAAGTCCGCAACCAGAGCGTGGGCGCTCTCTGAGAGCGTGCCGGGGAACGCTCTGAGGAGGCCGGCGTCGCCCGAGACGTTCTCCACCGCCCGATCTCAGAGATGTTCAACTTGTCCTTACCCGATTTTCTATCCCCGTCCTGGCTTCGTCTCACCGTGCGGCGAGATATCCTGGGGTTTTGCCGTCGCCGCGCGGTCTGCCGCCGCACCGCCCCTGGGAGGGGAGAGCCAGGGGGGGAGGGGGTTTTGGGGTTGGTGGTCTCCGGGGGCCACCGTGCGTCTCTCCGTCCCCCCCTCGCGTGCATTTTCCTAATTCGGGAATTTGGGAATACCCAGGACGAGTGGTTCGAAGGGTTTCTCATCGTCCAAGCTTTGTGCTGTAACCTAGCTAGATTGTTGCAGACGTTCTCCGCTGGAAAAACACGGCCCCATTATGTTAGTGCGTGAGCAGGGATGATGAATTAGATATTTTGGGGTGTCGCGCCCAGGCCTGGGCTCACAGCGCTGTCCTCCTCAACCGATTGGGCTCAAGCATCAGAAGACACCTTCCCTTTCCAACAACTCGTTTTCCAACAAGAATGCCCAAGATGAGTGGTTCGAATGATCTCTAATCGTCCCAGCTGCGTATTGTAACCCAGCCAGATAGTAGCAGACGTTCGCCGCACGAAACACACGATCTCATGATTGCGTTGTCCGAATGGAGTGTTGCGACTTTTGCCTCTTAGGGCATTTTCGGCGGTCCTCTGGGAAGACTTCAGGGGCCGTATTGGGGACCTTGTAGGCCGTGTTGAAATCATCTTGGGTTGTCGTGGGGCTACTCTGTGCCGTCTCGGCGCCCTCTTCGAATTTCTTGACGCTCAGTCTGGGCCCTTTTGGGGCTTTCTGGAAGTTGAGGAAGCCTCAGGGGTGCGTTGGCGAGCTCGTCCCCCCTTCCCCTACTGTATCATGCATCGCGTACTCTGTCGGGATCATTGCCTTGATCAACATCCGACTGTGCGAATAGACAGGATATCCACGCAATGGTAAGGGATGGGAGAGGGACATGACGCTTGCGCACCTAGCTTGCCCCCCCCCACTCCCCCCGCAAGTGGCATTTTGGATCCCAGGGGGGGGGAGGGGGAGGACAGCCAAATGTCTCACACGTCTTCGCACCCTTATCTAGCCCAGGGCCGGCGATGCTGGATCCACCTCCCCCCCTCCCGACAGAGAAAGTTTCAGCGCTAGACCTCGCCGACCGTGATGCCAGGCGCACAGCGCGGCGAGGAGGCCACACCCACCCCCTTGCAGTATCCAGTGCGTGTACACAAGGCGGCAAAAGTATAGGCTTCGCCAAGTTGTGACATAACATGTGATACTTTTTGTACTGCTTGAGACACCTTCACGGTAGCCTTGCTAAATAAAAGCAAATTCCATGCCGCATTACTAAATGCGTCCGTAGGCCAGCCCAGGCGTTTCGCCTGAGACTCCCCGCGCAATCTAGCATCGCGAAACTTTCACAATTATGCAACTATGCGGGTTGAGGCCGGTTCCTTCTCAAAATGGCGTTTTCGCTTTAGCGCCGCGCGCATTCGTTTTTACAGCTTGCAACAGCTTCAAGGATGGAGGCTGGGTCGTGGTCAAAATTGAGGTCCCTGCCAACGCACTGACATGTGTGTGAGCTGTGCAGATAGAGGTTGGTTCCGTTTCAAAATGGATCTCTCTCTTGAGATTTGTCGAAGTGCATGACCAGAAACGTGGAGTGGATTGTTAAACATGGTCGGAGGCGGGTCTTCAAAACGCTGATTTCGCTAGACAGCACGTTGAGCTGACATATGATATCATAACATATGGTCGGATGCATATGTATGTTTATACGTTGATGTTTATGTATGTGTGTATGTATAGACTTATGTATGTATGCATGCATGCATTTACATTTGTTTACATATGTGCATATGCACACATATATAGACACACGTGTACATATCCACATATGTATGTGATGCGTGTACTTGATCGCAGTTTGCACGAATCCTTTCACTGATGCGAGGCAGCTACTTTTCAAACAACAGTATCTCTCCCGAGTGGCATGCCGATTGTGTGTTTGTATTTCAAGAGGGCGCCTCTTGTAGTGAAGAGCAATGTTTGTAGGGACATGGGAACGGGACATGGGACCAGGGGGCGTAGAACAGTATCGCCGATGCGTCTTCAGTTCATTATGGTCCTGTTTCTCCTTCGCCTTCTCTGCCCCCCTGTCTCCCCCTGTCTTCTCCTCCATCCCTCCTGCTCCCCTTCCCTTCTCCCTCCTGCCTCCCTCCTCTCTTTCCCCTACCGTCCTCCCCGCTGTTCGAGAAGAGCGCGGCGCTGCCAGAGACAAGCGGAGGCTTCCTCAATCTGCGTGCTGGTCCCCCCCCCTCCTTCCCGTCATCTCTCTCTTTGGGCTCCCTGCGAGGGGCTCTCCTTCCAGTCTGCCCGGAGCTGCGCCGTGTGCATGAAGCAGGACGCCGCGCGCTTCCCCCTGCGGTCTGGGCTGGATGTGGGGAGGGTTGGGGGGGGGGGCAGGGCTGGACTAAAACGCTGTTTTGCTGGTTTTCGGCTGTGCTTTGTTTTTCGGTTTGGGATGGAGGCGCAATAGAGCAAACCGAAACACATAACGAAACCATAACGAAAAACAGCGTTTAGGTCCATCCCTGGGGGGGGGGGTCGCAGGAAGCGAGGCAGAGGGGCGGAGCAGCCAGAGGCGCTGGGGATCTCTTGTTTTCCGCTCTCTCTCTCTCTCTCTCTCTCTGGATGGGCCAGCGGCAAGTGGCCGAAGACTGGGGACGGGGAGAGAGGTGCGGCTCCCTCGCTCCGTGGACGTTTCAGCAGCGCAGCACTCGGCCGAAGACAACGGGGCAGGGGGCAGCAGACAGGAGGCCAGGGGAGCAGAGGAGGGGGGGAAAGAGAGGGCGGGAGGCGGCGAGGAAGCACGGAGGGAGGTTCGCCTCTTCCCCTCTCTTTTCCCTCCTCCTCCTCCTCCGCCGCCTCCTCCTCCTCCTCTTCTGCCTCCCCCTTCTGGTCGAAGCTGGATGTAGCAACCAGTACAGTCGGACCGAGCTCGAAGATCGAGGTCGGTTCGGGGAGGGTACCCTAGTGTTCTTGGTGTTTGTTGGATGTTCTTGTGCATCCTGGGGAGGGTACGCTTATATTCAAATCGGGCTTGTCCCCCTACAGGAGGAATATTCAAAAAAAAAAGTCACAAAATAGTCAGGGGACGATTTTTTAACTACTCTTGATTATTTTGGTGTATTTCTTGACTATGTTTTATTTTTCGCCCAAAATCCCCCTGTAGGAGGACAGGCCAGATTTAACCTTAGATTTTCTGTTTGTCTTGACCGGCGGAGGGTCTCGTGTTCTTGAAGGATGCTCTTCTGTCCTAGGTCCGACCGTACCGGCGCCCTCCACTGACGTCATCGCAAGCCGTGAGCACGCCCTACCCGACAGCGGTCCTTGGCGGCGAGGGAATTTGGCAAGCCCTCTCCCTGGCGAGCTCTCGGATGGGACCAGGACGAGGATAAATCCGTCCCAGAGCGTTCCGGAACGCTTTCAGAGCGTTCCGGAGCGCGTCTTGAGCTCTTCCTCCGCCTCCTTTTTCTCTCAAGCAGTGGCGAAGCGTCCTAGCTCGCCTATAGGCCTACCAAATAATGCTCTAAGAGCCTTTTGTGGTCCGCGCGAGATGTTCTCAGACCATTTCTGGCTGAGCCTGTCTTGTTTCAACACATCGGGCTTACGTTCTAAGAACATTTGTTTTTGTTCTTAGAACATTTCTTGGTTCTACGAAAATGTCGTGGTATGCCTATAGAGACGCCGGGACGGTCGGTCCCTGCTCAATTCTCCTCGGGAGGAGCGGTGCAGGTGGCCACGTTGGCCGAGCCTTCGCTCCGGAGGCGGCGGGAGGGGGCTCCCCGCTGGACACGAGGCAGGGCTGCCTCTGTTTCTGCGATCCCTCCTCCTTCCCCTCCTCCTCCTCCTCCGCCTCCTCCTCCTCCTCCTCCTGCCCCTCCTCCTCCTCCTCCTCCTCCTCCTCCTCCTCCTCCTCCTCCTCCTCCTCCTCCTCTCCTCCCCCCCGTTTCTCCTGCTCCTCCTCCTTCTCCTCATCCTCTTCCTCCTATTTCTCCTCCTCTGCATCCCATTCCTGCTGCCGCTCATGATGCTCCTGCTCCCGCTGTTGCCGCGGCGGTGCGCCTCTGCGAGGGTCTCCGGATGCCTCCAGAGTTGACCCCGTATATCTGGGCCTCCCATCTATGAGGCCTCTGGTCGATGGGCCCGAGATGGCCCTGGAGGGTCCGGGGATTGATTTTTCGAGGACAGGGGATTGTGGAGCATGCGGTTGCCACACTCCGTGTATCGACTCTCTTTCTCTCTCTCCCTCTCTCTATCTCTTTCTCCCACAGCCCTGGTGGTTTGCCCAAGACCATCCTTTGTTCTCCCTCCTTCGATCTCGGTGCCCCACCCTTTCTCCGTTATCCCTCTTTCTCTCAGTCTCTGTCTCTCTTCTCTCTCTCTCTCTCTGTCTTTCTCTCTCTCTCTCTCGCTGTCTCTCTCTCTCTCTCGTCCTCCTCCTTCTCCCGCTCCTCCTCCTCCTGGGGGCTTAGGAAACTTGGCCAGGCGTTGGTTTTTCTGGTTTTTCTGGTTTGGGAGCTCAGAAATACTTGCCAGGCGTTTTTTTTTTTTTGGTCTGGGAGCTCAGAAAACCTGGCCAGTCGTTGGTTTTTCTGGTTTTTCTGGTTTGGGAGCTCAGAAAACCTGGCCAGGCGTTGTTTTTGTTTGTTTTTTTTCTGGTCTGGGAGCCCAGACGTTTTTTTTTGTTGTTGTTTGTTTTTTTTGGGTCTGGGAGCCCGCAAAACCTGGCCTGGAGGTTGGGGGCTTGCGAACTACTGCCGTCAGACTAGAACAAACTACAAACAAACCAACGCCTGGCCATGTTTTCTGAGCCCTCAGACAAGAAAAACCATAAAATTCAAAGCCTGGCCAGGTTTTGCGGGCTCCCAGACAAGAAAAAACATAACAACCAACGCCTGGCCAGGTTCTGTGAGCCCTCAGACCAGGACAACCAGAAAAACCAACGCCTGGCCAGGTTTTGCGAGCTCCCAGACCAGAACGACCAGAAAAAAACAACGCCTGGCCAGGTTTTGTGAGCCCCCCAGACCAGAACCACCAACAAAAAACAACGCCTGGCCGTGATGCTGTCCAAAGGATTCTTTCCAAAGGATTCCTTTTGTGAGGCTTTCCAATCGAATTCCTTTAGGGTGCTTTCCAAAGGGTTCCTTTTGTGATGTTTTCCCATAGAATCATTTTGTGATGCTTTCCAAAGGATTCCTTGCGTGGTGCTTCCCAAATGATTCCTACTGTGAGGCTTTCCAATAAAATCCCTTCGCAGTGCTTTCCAAAGGATTCCCTTTATGAGGCTTTCCCATCGGATCCCTTTGCGGTGCTTTCCAAAGGATTCCTTTTGCGAGGCTTTCCAATATAATCCCTTTGTGGTGCTTTCCAGCGGATTCCTTTTGTGAGGCTTTCCAATAGGATCCCTCTGTGGTGCTTTCCAGAGGATTCTTTTTGTGAGGCTTTCCAATCGATTCCCTGTGTAAGGCTTTCCAATCGAATCCCTTTGTCAGGCTTTCCAACCTATTCCCCTTTTTGCGAGGTTTTCCAATATCATCCCCTTCTTGTGCTTTCCAAAGGGTTCCTTCTGTGAGGCTTTCACATAGAATCTCTTTGTGGTGCTTTTAAAAGGATTCCTTGTTGTGGGGCTTTCCAATCGAATCCCTTTCTGTGCTTTCCACAGGATTCCTTTTGTGAGGCTTTCCAATAGAATCCCCTTGTGGTGCTTCCCAAAGGGTTCCGATTGTGAGGCTTTCCAATACAATCCCTTTGTAGTGCTTTCCAAAGGATTCCCTTGATGAGGCTTTCCAATCGAATCACCTTGTGGTGCGTTCCAAAGGATTCTTTTTGTGAGGCTTTCCCATGTGATCCATTGAGATGCAGAGGCGGAGGAGGAGAAGGAGGAGGAGGAGGAGGAGAAGGACGAGGAGGAGACGAGGTAGAGAGAGAAAGAGAGAGAGAGAGAGAGGGCGAGCGAGAGAGAGAGAGAACGAAGAAGAGTGGAGGAGGATGAGGAGGAGGAGGAGGAGGAGGAGGAGATATGTATGATCATGTGTGGGGGGGGGCGAGCTAAATGGTCGCCCCCCCACCCACATGATCATACTTATCTCTTCCTCCTCTTCATCCTCCTCCACTCTTTTTCGTTCTCTCTTTCTCTCTCTCTCTCTCGCTCTCTCTCTCTCTCTTTCTCTCTGTCTCTCTCTCTCTATATATCTTCTCCTCCTCATCCTCCTCCGCCTCCTCTGCATCACCAAGGGGATATTTTGGAAAGCCTCATAAAGGGAATCGTTTGGAAAGCACTACAAAGGGATCCTATTGGAAAGCCTCACACAAGGAATCCTTTGGAAAGCGCAACAAAGGGATTCTATTGGAACGCCTCACAGCAGGAATCCTTTGGAAAGCAAGTCGGGCCCAGCATCGTCGGGCGTTAGAGATGTCAGTGCTAGCGAGATGTCTCTGCCAGCGTAGAAGGCGAAGCCCTAGGAATTATTATAGTGACAATAAGAACAACATTAACTGCAGGTTTTTTTTGCTGACCTTGAACTAATGTTGGAGAAGAAGAATCCCCAGGCGAGCTCATGCAGCGAACGGTCATGTGATGAAAAAAGTCGGCCCCTCCTACTCCCTCGTCCTCCTCCCACACACACATTCAAAACAGTAAACCAAAAATGTGCGCGGCGCCGAGGCGAGAGCGTCATTTTTGAAAAAATGCGCGCGGCGCCGCGGCGAGAGTGCGACATTTCGATACACGGGGTGTGGCAACCGCATACTCCACAATCCCCTGGCCTCGAGGACAGGGGGGGGGCCAACACCCCCACCCTGACACGTCGATTAGTGAATTGTCAGTTTTCGGTTCTCGAGAGGGCGCCGCGGCTGTCATTTCCCAGGCGTGCGCCCTCCAGGTCTGGGCCCGAGGTCGTCTTCACTTTGCCACGTTGTGCCAAAAGGGGCTTCCGTCCATCCCCGAAGGAGGCCTCTTTGAGGCCTCTGGTCTACGGGTCGGAGGTGGCCCCAGATGGGTTGGAAGGGTCCGAGCACGGGCCTGACCACAGTTCGTCGCCCCAAGGGTGGAGCCCTCCTCCTCCTCCTCCTCCTCCACCTCCTCCACCTCTTCCTCCTCCTCGGCCTCCTCCTCCTCCTCGGCCTCCTCCTCCGCCTCCTCCTCCTCCTCCGTTGAGCGGGTTTGGCCTCATCCCCCTTCCTGGCTGATTTTCTGGGGACCCAGCCAGTTCAGACTCCCGGCCGCCTCCACCTCATGCGGTCGCCCGGAGAGGCCGCCAGATGCCCTCGGTCGAAACGGCGTCTTAAACGTCCAGCCTCGATCCCTCGACCTCCTGGGGCCGCTCGCGGTCCGATCCCCGCATCTTTATCCCAGTTTCGGGTTTCTCTCACGCGCAGCGAGTCCCTCTCTAGTCTGCGGGGGGGCGAGCCCGATCAGCGATGAGGTTCCGATCCGATCGGCGGCGATTCAGGCGCGGCCCGATCCGTTCCCATGCCAATCCGAGTTCGCGACTCGATCCAACTCAGGTTTGCCCCTTTCGCTTCTCTCTCTCTCTCTTCCCCCTATCCATCCTCTCTCTCACTCTCTCTTTCTCTTTCTCTCTCTCTCTCTCTCTCTTTCTCTCTATCTCTCTCTTATATATGTGTGTGTGTGTGTGTCCTATACGACCACCCTTCGGGTGATAAGGAGGTTCGGGGGGGAGAGGAACCAACGTCTCACTCGATCGGTCTCACTATCGATATCACTATCGGTCTCGCTCGATCGATCTCACTCGATCGATCTCACAATCGATCTCACTCGATCTATTCCATTCGATCGATCTCACAATCGATCTCACAATGGATCTCACTATCGATCGCATTATCGATCGCACTATCGATTTCACAATCGATCTCACATTTGGTATCACAATCGATCTTACAATCGATATCACAATCAACGTCATCATCATCAACATCATCATCATCACCGTCTTCGACATCATCATCATCGGGGCACCATCATCATCACCTCACCATCATCATCATCATCATCATCATCATCATCATCGTCATCATCATCATCGGGACACCATCGTCGTCACCATCATCATCATCAACATCATCATCATCGGGACACCATCATCATCGGACTACCATCATCATCAACATCATCAGCATCATCTCACCATCATCATCACCATCATGAACAACATCATCATCATCATCATCGTCATCATCATCATCGGGACACCATCAGCATCATCTGCAACATCATCATCAACATCATCATCATCATCGGGACCATCATCATCGTCACCATCATTATCATCATCAACAACATCATCATCAGCATCATCATCCTCATCATTAGGACACCATTACCATCAGCATCAGCATCATCATCACCATCATCGGGCCACCATCATCCAAATCACCATCATCACCTCATCATCTTCATCAACATCATCATCATCAACATCATCATCATCATCGGGGCACCATCGTCATCATCATCATCATCATCCTCGGGACACCATCATCACCGTTTCCATCATCAACATCAAGAGCATCATCATCAACATCATCATCATCATCATCATCATCATCGGGACACCATCATCATCGTCACCACCATCATCATCACCTCATCATCATCTCATCATCATCAACAACATCAGGATCATCAACATCATCATCACTGGGACACCATCATCATCAGCATCAGCAACATCTGCATCATCAACATCAGCATCAGCAACATCATTGGCGCACCATCATCATAACCAGCATCACCATCATCGTCTGCATCATCATCAACATCGTCAACATCATCATCATCATCAGCATCAGCATCATCATCATCATCGGGACACCATCATCATCACCACCATCACCATCATCATCATCAACATCATCGGCATCATCATCATCATCATCATCATCATCATCATCATCATCATCATCATCATCATCATCATCATCATCATCATCATCATCATCATCATCATCATCATCATCATCATCGGGACACCGACGGGACACCGGCGGGACACCGCGGGCCACCGGCCCCCAGAAAGGAATCATTTGGTCCGGCCGCGCCTCAGCTGGAGGCGGGACACCGGCGGGACACCGCGGGCCACCGGTTCCCGGAAAGGAATCATTTGGTCCGGCCGCGCCTCAGCCGGAGCAGACTTTCTTTTCGCCCGCCCACGCAACTTCGCCTCGCCCGCACGCACGGCACGCGCGAACACGAAACCGAAACCGATTTCCCGGCCCGGTAGGGGGGCTCTGCGTTCCACTTCGATCTCACCCTCTTACCTCCGATTTATATTTGTATATTTGTGTATATATATATATGTTTATCGAAGCACAAGGAGACGAACAAGACAACCAATGGTACGAATGAAAACAAAACGATTCAACTAAAAAACAGCGTGCGCATACATGTTGGTAGCTCCGAGTTGTTCGGTGTGTTCAGTTTGTTGCTTCTCTATCCTCCCCCTCCTCCTCTCGGCGCCCGCGCAGAACCTTCCCCTGTTCTTTTTCGTCGTCTGCCTGCTGGACGCCTGCGGGCTCGCGCTGCTCATTGGCTGGCTGCCCGCGTGGACGGTGTCCGAGTATTGAGTGTGCCTGTGCGGCCTTGCCCCCCGCCTGGCGCCGAGGAGGAGGAGGAGGATGATTCAAGTCTTTAAAGTTAAGTTGGGCCTGTCCTTCTACAGGAGGAATATTCAAAAACTAGTCAGGGGACGAACATTTGACTATTTTTTACCATTTGGGGGTATTTTTGAGTATTTTTATTGTTTTTTTTTCCAAAATCCCCCTGAAGAGGGACACGCCCGACTTAAGATGAAAGTCAAAACGCATTGTAAGGATGAGCGACTTTCCAGGGTTACCTTTGCATCATTGCCCCGTCGGCCCATCCTTGGCAGCTTTCGCTGTCCAGCCCCTCAGGATACCCATGGCTTTCCAAGGCCCTTGCATCCTTACCGTGCATCCTTATCATGCCTTCTGATTGTATGACCCGTGTAAGCCCAAGACGCATCGATGATGTTACGGAAAGTGCCCCATCGGAAGAAATCCGTCTGAGAACCTTCAACCGTGTTAGAACATTGTTCTTGGGACTTGAACTCCCTAAATCAACATGGCTGTTGCGTCTGGACAATCTGCATGCCCGCCAGACTACCATTGCTGGGACTTCGGCACCGCGAATCAACGTGACGGCTCCGTCCTGACAGTCCTAAGTCGTGCCAGAGCAACGTTCCTGGAAATCCAACCATACGAACCAATCAAACCGTTGCCAAATGTTATGACGACGGTGCGTTGCGCTGAGACGAGAACCATCTTTTGAAAGGACCCGCCCTCTATCTTTGAAACTACTGCAGTATTGTACGACGAATGCGCGCGGCGCTAAGGCTCGCTCGCTCGCTCGGCCGTGCATCCGGTGGGACGCGTTGGCAAACTCTGGTTGCGACGTTGGCAACCGAACGGAAAACATGAACTGAAAGTGTACAATGAGTGCTGCAAAACTAAGGAAGGGGGAGGGGAGGGAGGAAGGCGAGATTGCCTCAGACCGTACACTGAAGAAGCCCACTGGCTGTCGAGGCCGGCCTCGTCGTCGATGTAGCGCCCAACACTTTGGTGACCCATCTGGCTCGCATACAACTTGTCGCACCAAGGAGGGATGCCCACTTCTGGAAATCTTGAGGTACGCCTTCTCCTGCCTGTCCAGAAGAACATCCGACAGAGGTTTCGCGCCAGCTCTCTTCAGAATGTCTGCGTTGCTAACTCTCGAGATGAACGAAGGAGGTACGCCGACAATGCGTCGTAGACACCTGCAGTGGAAAGCATCAAGGCGCGCCCTGTCTGCTTTCAGTAACCAAACTGAGTCCAATGAGTAGAGCAGCTTGCTCACCACACAGCTTGTGTAAATACTGTGCTTTCGCCGTTTTCCAATCGAGGCGTGGCTCCAGAGCTTATCCAACTGCTTGAACATCTTTGTACATTCTCCTAGTCTCCGCGTCAGTTCCGTGGCAACTTTCCCGTCGCAGGTAATCAGTCTTCCTAGGTAAACAGCTTCGCGGACGGACTTGATTGCGCCCCCGTCTGGTCGTGATATTACGTTGTGTGTTGACATTTGCATTTGTAAAGTTTTGTCCCAGTTCAGTTCCAAGCCGTATTTCTTACCTTCTGTAATAACGGCCAAGAGCATATCTTCCATATTTTGATTGTGACGCCAAAGTAGAAGTGTATCGTCGGCGTAAAGGATATCGCGCGTCACGGCATATGCGCGGCGCTAAGGCACGAAACACATTTTGAAAAGGAGCCGCCCACCACCTCAGAAACTGTTTCACTGCTGCACGCTGGAGACGAATGAATGTGCGCGACGCGACGGCAAGAACCACACTTTGACAATGAACCGCACTCCCTCTGCGGCGCATCGGCGAGAGCCAAATATTGAAAACGGGCATCCATCCGTCCTTGAAGTTGTTGTAGGTGGTCGATTTCAGCATCATAAGTGGTGAGGAAGTCTCAGGCGAAACGCCTAGCATGCCCTGCTGACAAGTCTGGGGGTGCGACAGGGATGAACTATTCATCAGGAAATGTATTGCGCAGGAGGAGGGGGAACAGGGAGGAACAGGAGGAGGAGGAGGAGGGGGAGGAGGAGGAGGAGAAGGAGGAGGAGGAGGAGGAGGAGGAGGAGGAGGAGGAGAGTAGGAGGAGGAGGAGGAAGAGGAGGAGGGGGAGGCGGATGGGAGAGGAGGATGCACGAGGTGGACGGAGTGAGGAAGGCCGCTCGCCCTCCAGATGGTGGGGGGGGGGCTGGCGGGTGTCCAGTTCGCGGTCCAGGTCGCGACGTGGTGCCGCGGGGCGGGCGCCCAGGGGGTTTTGGCGGAGAGAGGCCTGAGATGGGGCGCCAGTGTGCGCGGGGGAATGTGCTTCCTCCTCGTCCTCCTCCTCCCCCTCCTCCTCCCCCTCCTCCTCCTCCTCCTCCTCCTCCTCCTCCTCTTCCTCCTCCTCATGCCTTCTTTATGCAGCCACGTTCGAAAGGCAGGCTTGCAGCTCAATAGTGGAAGCGATCACGAGTATAGTTTTGCACTCATCGCCTGGTACCGGGCTGACTACTTGAGCATCTCTTGGGGCATGCCATTCGCTGCTGAAGCAGGGGCGGAGATGGGACAACATTCGGGCCAAGATACTTGCCCCTCCTCCCCCCTCCTCCTCCCCCTCCTCCTCCTCCTCCTCCTCCTCCTCCTCCTCCTCCTCCTCCTCCTCCCCCACCTCCTTTTACTTATTCATAGCTCCTCCATGGCGCGCTCCCTGACGTGTCGGTAGGGTGGGCTGGGCGTTTCACCTGAGACTTTTCGCAATTCAATGCAGGTCCTGAGTGAAGCTTGAGACTTGTAACAGCTTCATTGATGGAAGGGGGTCGTCTTTTTCACATGATGGCTCTTGATTTAGCGCAGCGCGAATTCGTGTCAAAATGTTGTAACAGTTGCACGGATACAAGGGGGGCGTTTGCGAACTGTGATTCTCGCCTTGGCGTCGTGCGTCGCCACGTCGTCCTCCTCCATCCTCTTTCTTAAAAAACAACTCCTCCCATCGCACCCGCAGACGTGTCGGTAGGGCCGACCTGATTTTCGCTTCAGACTTCCGCACCAATTATCGGTGTCACCCCAACACACTTATACTATACGTGCGTCGCCCCCCCAGCGGCGACACGCGCACCGAGAAATCTTATAGTATACGTGTCGCGGCGGGCGCTTTCTGGCCACACCGCTCGAGAAGGATCCACTACAAGATGGGTCTACTAGATGTTCGGGTCGGACGCGCGCCTCCAAGGAGACCACACAGCACTGGTATGCTTCTGTGCGACCCGAACTATGGTCCTGCAGTTGGAACTCTGCAGCAGCTCCACGGACGGAGGGCGGCCCTGTTTCAGAATGCGGGTTTCGCTTCGGCGCCGCCCGCACCTCTCTTCTCCTGGAGCCTGCAGCAGTTTCGGAGATGGAGGTCGGGTCCTCTCCGAGAGGCGCCTCTCGCCTCAGCGTTGTACGCATGCTTGAGGTGAGCAACGCTTTCGAGGGTGGAGGCGAGGCCGTTTTCGAAACGGTGCGCTCTCCTCATTGTCGTGCGCACTCTGGTTGTTAAGAACGTGTACGCCATCTTCATTCATGGGGGCTGGTTCCTTTTCAGAGTAGGGCTCTCGTCTGAGCGCCGCGAACAGTCGTTTCAAGCTCCCAGAGCTTCAAGAACTGAGCATCTTGAAAATGGGGCTCGCGCTTCAGCGCGTTCGATGTTCAACGCCAGGTTTAGCCAGATTGACCTTTAGTTCCCAACGCAACATGGAGCTCTCGCCTTTGATTCCGTCAAGTTTGATTACGGCCCGAAGCCTCAACGCGCGCAGCGCTGCACGGGTCCATGACGGCTCTGTGCTCAAACTTGACGTGTCGCGTTGCAACTCTTCGAAGCTCATGATCGCAAGGGTTAAATTGTCAAACAGTTTCACGGAGAGGGGGTCCTTCTTCGGACTTGAAAAAAGGGATGTTGCTGAACGCCTCGTTGATTTGTACATCATTCTTGGTCGCGCTCCTGACCGAATGACGCGCCAGAAGACCTCTTCAGAGCGGGGCCCCTGTCAAACATGGCAGGCCCAATTGTACTGGTCTTTACGTGTGAGGCGGTGATTTATCCACACTGCCTGGGAACCGACGTCCTGGGGACCCAGCGGGCGGTGGATCTGGATATGTTTTGGCCCCATGGGCCAAAGTGCATCCAGATCCACCGGCTGCGGAGGTCCGCGAAAATCGATCCTCTGGGCGGTGGTTATGTATACATCCTCGCCTCGAATGACGGGGTGGGGTGGGCGGTTCTTGCAGCGACCAAGGGGGGACCCCTAGGGGCGTATGGGGAGGGGACCTGGGATGGGAGGGCGCATTGCAGCCTCGTTTCGGCATCCTTGGCTTGCTCTGGTCTTCCCCGCTCCTCACCACGACGACGACGACGACGACCTCCGCATCGCTCCTCGCAAGTCCAGGCGCGGGAGCGAAGCCTCGAAACGTCAGGCTCTCTCTGCTCGTCCCGCCTCCCCCCCCTCCCTCTCACTCTCTCGCTCCTCCGCCCTCCCTCCCTCCCTCCAGAGGAGGAGGAAAAGCTACCCATACCGCTGCCCTTCGCCCGTTTCCTCCTTTTTCGGCCTCCTGGGAGGCCCTCGTCGCCACCGCTGGCTTCGCCTCGAAATCCTGGTCAGAACGCACCCCACGAGATGTCCCAGGAGTAGCGATGTCGGCACCTTTTGGTGTCCTCGCCTCTCCCCTCTCGGGGCGACTTTCTCGCCCCCGACCAGCCAGCGGTTGAATCAGATGCGCAATCATCTTTGGGCGGACAACAGGGGGGGAATTGGAAAGGGGGGGTTACGAAAGCTACGGCGCGCAGCTGATTTCGACCCCGCCGTTGGGGGCTTTCCTCGATATACGGGCGCCTCTGACGGTCGGAGGCGCTGGGGAAATTGGAACACCAGCTACGTAAGTTGATCGCTAATCCCCCTTTGTATCCAAGTCCAAGAGGCTTATGCCAGTCCGCCGACCCCCAGAAGAGGATGTGTGCGTCTTTCGGTGGTGTATGCAAATGTGCGTCTTTCGATGCCGTATGTATTGTTTTCCACTTTCCGTCGTGCTGCCCGCGTGTAGTTTTTGCTGATTCATCCTCATCTCCCGCGTCTGTTGCGGGGCTTCTTAGGGACCTCTTGGAGGCCCAGAGGGGTGGCCGCTTGCAGACTTTTCAAAGCTCCTGGGGGCTTGGGAGGGCCCTCGTGGGGCCTCCTGCAGGGGGCATGTTGGGGGCCTTGGAGGATCATCATGCGGAGGAGGGCCCCCAGGGTCCCTGCGAGTTTTTGTCTTCAGCCTCTCGTGGGCCGATCTTGGACCCCTCTTGAGGGCTTTCTGTTGCCGTCTTGGGCGGTCTCTTGGGCCGCCTTGAGGCCCTCTAGGGCCGTCTCATACATTGCCGGGCTTGTTCCAACGTGAGTGCAAGTTGTCAATGTTCCGCAGATTTTGCCCAGCTTTCATGGAGCCTCCTTTTTAATGGCTTCATTTCGTCAAATATGATCTTGCTCATATGTTCACACATATATATATATATATATAGACGTCATTTGCCCCCGCCCAGGTTTGACCGTCTTCGTGATAGTAAAGCATATTCAGTCCACAAGTTGTATCCATGTCTAATAGCACTTAGCCAGATGGACTCGCGCCAATGGCCAGGGGTCTACGATCGTTTAGTTCTAGGAAGCAGGGAGTAGCGGGTGGAGAGTGGCGGTGACGATGAATAACATGATTTGTCAAGATTGGACAGTCATGCGTAGCCGCCATTTCATTCGGTTTAATCACGATTAAATGTGACACGGAAGGGTCCCAGCACTTGCCACCGAAAGAACTGGCAATTGCCCTCATTTACCCCTCCTCCCCCCCTGCTCTCCCATCTCTCCCTCCCCCTCACCCGCCTCCTCGCCCTCTTTTCCCTCTCCCTCCCTCCCCTCCCCTCCCCCCTCCTCCATCCCGCTCACGGCCTTGCTGATGCGGACGGGTCCACCCAGCGATCGTTGCCCTCGCCCCCCCCATTCCTCCTCCCTCTCCCTCCCCTCCCCTGCTTCCTCCTGGCATCGCTCGGACGTGTGTATTTTTTTCTCGGCGAGGACCCTTGAGGAACATCCTAAATCATCGAGCGAACAAAAACACGCACGAAACCGAACAATGCACGGGACATGGACGTCCGAGCGACGGCAAGTCCTCCTCGACCTCCACCTCGCGGCCTCCGGCCCTCCGCGGGGGCGCGCCTCGCCGAGCCCGCCTGGCAGGCTCGTGGGCTTCGCCATGGAGACCGCCTCCGCGGCGCTCCTCGTCGCGGTCGCGTGCGCCGCGCTGTGCTTCAAGGAGCCGCCGGCGCGGAGGGCCGCGCTCTCGTGCGACCCCTGCGCTGATCGGAGGTCGGTAGACCTCCTGCCCCGACGCGTCGATGGAGGAATTGGCCCTTCATTGGTTCGCGGGAGGGCGTCGCGGCCGTCGTTTTTGGCGGGTCCAGGCCCGTCGGTTTCGGCCTCAGTGATTTTGCCAGATTCGAGCCAAGATTTTTTAAAATGGCGCGAGTGTCTGATACCTCTGATATACACTTCGCTGGTGTCACTGCCACAAATCAGGCCGTTTTCATTGAGGGGAGGTTTACTAAAGGGAGGTGTGTCCACCGCCGAGCTGGCCCTGGCGGCCAGGCCCACGCTGGGCCCAGGTTTGGGGGGGCGTCCAATTGGGACGGTTAGGGGGCCACATGCGAACCCTACCCCTACCCCCCACGATTCCTGAGGGGGAGGGTGGGGTTCACTTCATTCGGGAGGTCACGAGCGAAGTGAACCCCACCCTCCCCCTCAGAACTCGTGGGGGGTAGGGGTAGGGTTTGCATGTGGCTCCCTAACGGACGGTGGCGGGGAGGGGGAAGGGGTTCGGGGGTTCCGCAGACACGCTGACGGCGATGCAGGTGACGGCGATGTGTGTGTGTGTGTGTGTGTGTGTGTGTGTGTGTGTGTGTGTGTGTGTGTGTGTGTGTGTGTGTGTGTGTGTGTGTGTGTGTGTGTGTGTGTGTGTGTGTGTGTGTGTCTGTGTTTGTCTGTGTTTGTGTGTATGTGTGTTCGGCCCTGTCTGTAGGCGGGGGTGGTTCGCGACCAACCCAATTGTGGGAAAGGCTGGTTCATGTTCGACTACACTTCATTCTGCGCGAGTTCGGCGTCACAAAAACCTGATTCCCAACATCCTCGTTGGCCAACGTCGCCGTTAACGTGGCCTGGGGGGTTGCTAGAGGTGCCCCTGGCCCAAGGTCCCCCCAGCTTGTCGCTCTATCGTGGAGCCCCGTGGGCCCTCTGGGCCTCGTGAGGGGTGCTCTGGAGGCCGTGAGGGCCTACTCGGAGATTTGGGGGCACCTCGGGCCAGGGGCTCTTCTCTAGCAACGCCCGAGGGGTGGATACCATGGCCGGGGCCCTGAAAGCTCCCCGACCGCATGGCCCCCCCCTTCTTCTTGCAATGCGTCCCCTGGTCCCCCCCTCGTCCGCGCACATCCCGCCAGCCATGCTTGGCAACTAGTGACATCTGGGCACGAAAACGGGAACCTGGGCACCAGCACCCAGGCACCCGAGTGTCTGGCAGCCGGGCACCTGGGCACCCAGGCAACTGCAGGCACTCGGGCACCCAAGCACCAGGCCGGGCACCCGCGGGCAGGGCACCCGGGCACACAGGAACACTGGCACGCGTGGGCACCCGGGCACACGCGGGCACCTCCCAGGCACCCGGGCACCGCGGCAAACGGCTTGCGTAGGTTTACCTTTGGGGGCCGGGAAGCGGCCTCGTGAGGTCACGGACCAGAGGTTCCCACAGCTTGCGTCGGTGGCCCTCGGGGCCCCCTGCGGCCCCCTGAGGGCAGCGGCGGGAGGTTCCCACAGCTCGCGTCGGTGACCTGGGCGGCCTCGCCTCCCCTCCCCCCTCTGGCGAGGACCATCATAGGCCCATGCCCCTCCTGTGGTGACCATCATAGGGCCCACCCCCTCGGCAGCTGCCATCACCGGGGCTGCAGTGGGCCTCGCTCCCATCCTTACACTTCCGACGTTACGGCATCCGCTGCCAGCGGAGGGGGCCATGGGGCTGGACCCTCGGCCACGGAGGACGCCCGTGAAGCAGGGCCCGACCGCACCTCCCTCCACCTGCTGCTCGCACCGTGAGCCAGTGCACCAGTCAACCACTTGCCCATCCCCGCCCCCTCCGGCACCCCTGCCCCTGCCGCTCCGCTCCCCCTCCCCCCTCCGCCTCCCCCGCCTCCGTGCCGGGGCCCCTGCCCTCCGCTCCCCCTCCCCCCTCCGCCTCCCCCCGCCTCCGTGCCGGGTTCTGCTGCCGCTTCTCCTCTCGCTGTGCTGCCCCGCCCCTCCGCCCTCATGAGGCTCCTTGGGCTTTTTTCAGCAAGGTTCGGGAGAGGTGGTTCCTCAAAGAGGGGGCCCAAAATATACACCACCACCACCTCCCTCCCCACCGCCCTCTCGCTGGAAAGAGGAGAGAGGAGGAATCGACGTGGTGGTGGTGTATATTCTTTAGGCCCCCACGGCCGAAGAGGGGGTGAAGCGCGCGTCGATAGTTCGAGTAAGCGGCTCTCCTCCCTCCCGATTCCTGATCCCCGATGGCCTGAGAGTTCGTCGTCGAACGTGGCCCTCCCCCTCCCTCCCTCCTCCGCCGGCTCCTCCCGCTCCCGCTCCCCGCCTCTGCTGCGGCGCCTCCCCCCCTCCCCCGTCCCTGCCTTCTCCAGGACAAGCTCATGCAGCTGTTGGGGCTGGACCACCAGGTGCTCGTGAACTGGAAGCTGCGCGACGCCCTCGGCTGCGTGGTCGGGACGCACTTCCGCCCCATCGAGGTCAACATCTGGAAAGTCGAGGACCTGCCCCCCGGCGACTTCTTCAGCGCGAACAACGTCTACGTGGAGATGTACCTCGGGTACAACGAGGCCGTGCGGACCAGGGTGCACAACAACGCTGGCAACGGCTGCCTGCTTAAGGATCGGGCGCACGGCCACGTGGCAGAAATCGGACCTACACGTCGGACGGGGCTGGGGCGAGGACCCCATGTGAACGCTCTCAGTGCGCTCTGGAACCTCTGGAAGGGTCCGAGAAGGCCGCGGCGTTCGACACATTCCTCAGAACCGCAGGATCTCAGAGATTCCCGATTGATCCTCGCCCGATGTGATCCTCGTCCCAGCTTCGTCTTCGCACGGGAGGCGGAGAAGGTTGCACCGTTCCAGCACCTTCCAGCCTCGGTGGGAGTGCAGGGGCCGCTGGGGGCCCTTCGAGGCATCCTCTCCTCTAACCCTCGGCCGTCCCCCGTTCGTTGCGCCCCCTGGCTAACATCCGCCCGATGACATGGGCGATCGGAGCCGCCTGTGGAAGCATTCGCACGCAAAAACACAAAGAAACCACCTCGTGGAAAAACACGCTCACAAGGTCTCCTGAACAAAAGCACTCTGTGTGCGCTCTTGCTCCACAGTGTCTGTCACTGTGCGTGGTTCGGTGTGTTTTTTGGTGTGTGTGTGTGTGTGTGTGTGTTTCTGTGTCTTTATTCGACGTGTGTGTTTTGCTCCTGTGTGTGTGTGGTGTGCGTGTGTCTTTCTGTCTGTCTGTCTGTCTGTCTGTCTGTCTGTCTGTCTGTCTGTCTGTCTGTCTGTCTGTCTGTCTGTCTGTCTGTCTGTCTGTCTGTCTGTCTGTCTGTCTGTCTGTCTGTGTGTCTTCCACAGATAGCCGTATACTGTTCTCCGCTGCTCTTCAGGTGTCGCTGGACGTGTGTTCTTGGTCCAAGGTGCCCCTGGCTTCTCGTATGATTTTGGAGCCCTCGGGCGCCCTCCTGGGCCTCGTGAGGAGTGCTCTGGAGGCCGCTGGGGACCTCATTGGGAAATCATGGGTGCACCTTTGGCCAGGCACAGTCTTCGGGTCAGAACTCGGTTCTCCGACGGCCTCGCGGGCCGATTCGGGCACCTTCGGAACGCCCTCGGCGAAGCGCAGCTGCTAGACCGCATCCCGAGGCTGGGAAGCCGACTGCAACCCACGAAAACGTCTGAGGACCTCGAACCTCCGGCCAGGGACACCACTGTCAACCCTCGACCTGTCGCAGCCGCCGAGGAGACGCTGCAGCTCAACTTCGACGAGGGCGACGAGGAGGAGACCCTGCACGTCTTCGTGCGGAGCCAGAGGCTGCTCGGCGTGTCCGACCTGGGCCGCGCAGAGGTCAGCGCCAAGGACCTGCGCGAGCTGATACGCCGGAGCGGGGCCTCCGACAGGCCGCCGCGGAGCAGACGGGCCCCGGGGGGGGCGGGCCTCAGAGGATCGGGCGAGTTGAGACAGCGGTAGTTGGCCCTCGGAGGGGGGGGGCCTCGTCGCCACGGCCGGACGCAGCTCGGGACCCCGGGAGGGGTCCCAAGGACCGATGTCGAGATGTGGTTGTCTCATCTCGCCCTGCTCCGAGGGTCCTGGGTTTCCCTCAACAGCTTGTCAGCAAGGGTTCTGTATGTGCAGATGTGTGTGTGTATATACTTCTCAGAGTGAGGGGGCCGAACGGTCATTCATTGTCCCTGGGTGCGTGGCTGAAGTGAGGATCCGTGGTGAGGATTCTGCTTGTTGCCTTGTTGTTGGTGGTGGTGGTGTTGTTGTGGTTGTTGTGGTTGGTTGGTTGGTTGGTTGGTTGGTTGTTTGTTTGTTTGTTTGTTGTCGTCGTCCCACCCGAGACCCACCCGCGACCCACCCCGCGACCCACCCCGCGACCTACCCCGCGACCCACTCCGCGATCCACCCCGCGGCCCACCCCGCGACCCACCCGCGACCCACCCGCGACCCACCCCGCGACCCACCCGCGACCCACCCCGCGACCCACCAGTGACCCACCCCGCGACCCACCCGCGACCCACCCGCGACCACCCCGCGATTTACCCCGAGACCCATCCGCGACCCACCTGCGACCCACCCACGACCCACTCGCGACCCACCCGCGAACCACCCGCGAACCACCCGACCCACCCGCGACCCAACAGCAACCCACCCGCGACCCACCCGCGACCCAGCCGCGACCCACCCTCGACCCACCCGCGACCTACCTGCATTTGTTTAACGAAGAGAGTCGGCGCCTGCGGCGGGCTCGTTGTATAATTTGTGAAAGTTTGGCGCCTGCGGTGGGCTTCGCCAGCGTCTCGCAGACTGCCGGCGTCCCCATCGCCCCCTCACTCTTAACCGCATCTGCGGGGTGCTCATATAGATAAGAATAGTGGCCTTCGGCCCATCCCGCCACCGTGCCTGGGTTGTGGGTATGACGCCTATTGGATGTTCGTTGGGTCGAGGCCTCTTGGGGGCCTCTTGAAGGTGCCTTGGGGCCTATTGGGTGCCTCTCGAGGCCCCTTGGAGGCCGGTCGGGGCGGAAGGCTCGGATTTTCGGTTCGTGTTGCCTCTCTTGGGCCCCTTTTGGGACCGTCTTTGGGTCTTCTTGGGCCGTCTTGGGCCGTCTTGGGCGCCTCTGGTGCCCTCGTGGGGCGCTTTTAGGCTTGCTTGCAGCCGTCTTGGAGGCCTCTTGGGCCGTCTTGGGGTGGTCTTTGGGGCCTCTTGGGCCGTCTTGGAGCGTGGTCCACAAACGTTCCGGAGTGAACAAAATCGCTTCTGGGGCCCGATTCCCTTGGGGCTCGCCCCCCCCCCCCCTTGCCGAGACAGGTTCTCCTGGGACAAGGGGTCGTTCTCCGACAGCACCCACGCCGTCCAGCTCATCCCGAGGGGGACGCTCTACCTGCGTGCGTCCTACGTGCGGGACGAGGCGTGAATTCGCCCCGCGCGCCGTACTCGGCTACTGCCTGGAGGGCGCGCGGCAAAGAGGGATGGGGGCGAGGAGGAGGAGGAGGTGAAAGAGGAGGACCCGGGATGCATGAACGATGCTGCCACATGCCCTCTTGTCCCACCTTGCCCATAGATCTCTAGGCGTGTTCCCATATATTATGGGATTCCCTTTCTCCTGGTTGGCAGGTCGCCGGGCATATGACAACGAACGTTGATACAGATCAGTGTTCGATCTGTTGCGCTGGCGAACCACATCCGGATGTTAGATTTTCGCCGTACTGCCCTGCTGCCAGAGGCAAGGGCCCAGTGTTTTTCCCCAGCTCCCAACTGGCACTTCGCAGCAACGCTAGGCTATTGCAGCCTATCGACCACCAGGACGGCAACGAGAGACCAGCTCAACAAGCGCACATACCGTGACATCCAAGCTATCAAAATGGCCACCCGCCGAGCTGCAATCGACGGCATGCGAACCGAGTCTCACAACTTGAAGCACATCCGCGGTACGAAGTCGCATATGGGCCGCGAGTTCATACCAAGCATGATGGATACCAACAGACACGATGAATGATTCCGACAGTTCATAGATGACATGATTGCCACATTTGACGAGCAGTTCCACAACGACATGCGCAAACATTCTTAGGATCTGCCAGACGCCAACAAACACGGACCGCGAGAGGCAGTTCCAGCAATCCTATTGCCAGCCTTCTGCAAAGTTCTCCAGTCTGGGTAAGGTTCCTTGGACGCGGCGCTACACCTGCTGGTAAGCAACGTGTGGCGGCCAAACGCCCCCCTACCAGGGAGCCGGCAGCACGCCGCAATCAAGGTCTAACTTGGCGGTGGGGAGGATGAGGAGGCGGAGGTGGAGGAGGAGGAGGAGGAGGAGGAGGAGGAGGAGGAGGAGAGTGAGGGGGGAGGAGGAGGAGAAGGAGGTGCAGGAAGAGGTGGAGGAAGAAGTAGAGCAGGAAAAGGAGGAGCAGGAAGAGGAGGAGGAGGAGGAGGAGGAGGAGGAGGAGGAGGAGGAGGAGAAGGATGTGGAGACCCACGACGAGCACAAATCTATCGACTAATTGCTACCATCCCTGTGCTCCACGACTTGCCTTCGATACCACAAGCGGCTCCAACCACCTACTTGACGGCCAACGGAGCTCGGACCAATGATGCTTCGGGCACGGCCGGCGGGCCTTCGAGCTCATTGCCGCAGTCTTGCAAGAGACGACAGGCGACCCGACGATCCTTTTGTTCCTTATAGATCACCCAAGGAAGGGCTACCCTAGGGCTACCCCTAGGCCTACCCCTAGGGCTACCCTAGGGCTACCCCTAGGGCCTACCCCTAGGGCTACCCTAGGGCTACCCTAGGGCCTACCCCTAGGGCTACCCTGGGGCTACCCCTAGGGCCTACCCCTAGGGCTACCCTAGGGCTACCCCTAGGGCCTACCCCTAGGGCTACCCTAGGGCTACCCTAGGGCCTACCCCTAGGGCTACCCTAGGGCTACCTCTGGGGCCTACCCCTAGGGGTACCCTAGGGCTACCCTAGGGTGTCCAGTAGGGCCTATCCTTGGGAAGCCTAGGGCCTTCAGTATGTGTAATCCGCCACACAAGCAAGCAATGCCTTTAATGTCCCGCCCGCCCGCCCGACAAAAGGAATCAGCTTGTAATCCGCCATAATAGTAATCAACTTGCAATCCGCTGCCAAATGGAATCACTTTGTAATCCGCCACGAAAGCAATCAATGCATTTAATGTCCCGCCCGCCCGCCCGACCAAAGGAATAAGTTTGCAATCCGCTGCCAAAGGGAATCAATGTGTAATTCACCACACAAGCAATTATTGCCTTCAATGTCCCGCCCGCCCGCCCGGCAAAAGGCGCCCGACCAAAGGAATAAGTTTAAAATCCGCTGCCAAAGGGAATCCATTCGCAATTCACCAAACAAGCAATCATTGCCTTTAATGTCCCGCCCGCCCGCCAGACAAAAGGAATCAATGTGTAATCTGCCACAATAAGAATCAGTTTGCCATCCGCCACACAAGCAATCAATGCCTTTAATGTCCCGCCCGCCCGCCCGACAAAAGGAATCAGCTTGTAATCCGCCACAAATGGAATCTACTCGTAATCCGGTACCAACGGGAAGCAATTGGTAATCCACCACACAAGCAAGCAATCAATGCCTTTAATGTCCCGCCCGCCCGCCCGACTAAAGGCATCAACCCTAGGATAGACCGGTGAGGGGGGGTCTGTGAGGGGGGGTCAGCGAGGGGGGGTCCCAGAGGGGGGGTCCCAGAGGGGGGGTCCCAGAGGGGGGGTCAGCGAGGGGGGGTCCCAGAGGGGGGGTCAGCGAGGGGGGGGTCAGCGAGTGGGGGTCAGCGAGGGGGGGTCTGCGAGGGGGGGTCAGCGAGGGGGGGTCCCAGAGGGGGGGTCTGCGAGGGGGGGTCTGCGAGGGGGGTCAGCGAGGGGGGTCAGAGGGGGGGTCAGCGAGGGGGGTCTGCGAGGGGGGGTCGCGAGGGGGGGTCGTGAGGGGGGGTCAGCGAGGGGGGGTCCCAAGAGGGGGGTCCCAGCGAGGGGGGGTCAGCGAGGGAGGGGGGGTCAGGAGGGGGGTCTGTGAGGGGGGGTCTGCGAGGGGGGGTCAGCGAGGGGGGGTCTGCGAGGGGGGGTCAGCGAGGGGGGGTCTGTGAGGGGGGTCCCAGAGGGGGGGTCAGCGAGGGGGGGTCCCAGAGGGGGGGTCTGCGAGGGGGGGTCTGCGAGGGGGGGTCAGCGATGGGGGGGTCAGCGAGGGGGGGTCCCAGAGGGGGGGTCTGTGAGGGGGGAGGTCTGCGAGGGGGGGTCGCGAGGGGGGGTCCCAGAGGGGGGGTCTGCGAGGGGGGGTCTGCGGCGCCGGGGCCGCGGTCGCCGGGGGGCGGCGCGGGCGCCCTGCCCTCGGAAGGGGGAGCGGGGGGGGGGAAGCAGGGGATCGAGGGAGTAGCGAGGGAGGAGGAGGAGGTGGAGGAGGAGGAGGAGGAGGAGGAGGAGGAGGAGGTGAGGAGGTGGCGGCGGAGGAGGAGGAGGCGGCGGGAGCAGGGGGGAGGGAGGAGGCGGGCGGACGGAGTGAGGAGGGAGGAGGGAGGAGGCGTGCGGAGGAAGGAGGGAGGAGGGATGCTGCCGGCTCGGATTCCCGCTACAAAGGGGTCCGGCTACCCCTGGGGCCCACCCCTAGGGCTACCCTAGGGCTACCCCTTGGGAAGCCTAGGGCCTTGGGTAGGGCCTACCCTTGGGAAGCCTAGGGCCTTGGGTAGGGCCTACCCTTGGGAAGCCTAGGGCCTTGGGTAGGGCCTACCCTTGGGAAGCCTAGGGCCTTGGGTAGGGCCTACCCTTGGGAAGCCTAGGGCCTTGGGTAGGGCCTACCCTTGGGAAGCCTAGGGCCTTGGGTAGGGCCTAGGGTAGCCAAGGCCCCCGGTGATCTATACCTTTTGTTCGGCGGCGAGCGAGGGGGGGAAAAGTACGAGAAGGAGAAAGCCTTCTCAGAAAGCCGCGGGGCTTCACGAAAAGCCTCGCGCCGTCTGAGAGGTGCCTTGTGTCTTCGGGGAAGGCTTAGAACACTTTTCAGACGGCCCGAGGACTTCCGAGCCTTCTGAGAAGGCCTGCTCTTTCTCACTTCCCCCCTCGCTCGCCGCCGAACTGTGCGTGGCAGCAGTCGGCATCAAGAACTCATTTGACAGCGCGACACACAGCAATATTCGGGAAGCCTTTGTGGAGCAAGGCATACCGACGGCATAGATTCAACGGCATCGGGACTCTACTGCCACCAAACTGCCTCGGTCAGGCCTGACGCACCAGCCAGACCTGTGCAACCAGACGCGGGACGAAACAAGCTCACCCCATGGTGTCTTTGTTGTTCAGCAGCATGTCCAGGCATAACTTGCGGCGGGTCACGCACGCATTCCCCAAACAGTGCTTGCGTTTAGGGGGTGCTACTTGTCTTCTAAGGTCTAAGGAACCCGGGTCGTCTGTCAGGTCCGCTGCCTTGACGCCGCCGTCGCCGCCCCGTCGCCGCCTCGTCGCCGCCCGTCGTCTGGGCCCTTCTGTTGGGTCCGCCGCCTTGCTATTGCCGTCGCCGCCACGTCGCCGCCTCGTCGCCACCCGTCGTCTGGGCCCGTCTGTCGGGTCGCCGCCTTGTTGCCGCCGTCGCCGCCCCATCGTTTCGTCGCACCCCGTCGTCTGGGCTCGGTGCCGCTCCGTCGCCGCTTCGTCGCCGCCCGCCGGCTGGGCTCGTCCGTCGGGTCCGCCGCCCTGTTGCCGCCGTCGCCGCTCCGACCAGACAGTGTTTGCACCTAGGGTTGCTCCCCAGACAGTGTTCGCACTCGGGGGTTCTGTTTTGTGTTTCATCAGGAGTTTGCCCTGTATGTCGGTCTGGCGGCCCCGTGCTCGCCGTCGTCGCCTCGTCGCCGCCCGTCGCTTGGACCCGAATGTCGGTCAGGCAGCGCCGTGTTCGCCGTCGCCGCGTCGTCGCCGCCCGTCGCCTGGACCCGAAGGCCTGTTCTGTCGGGCGGCTCCGTGCTCGCCGTCGCCGTTCCGTCGCCGCCCGCCGTCTGGACTTGAGTGTCGGTTGGGCAGCTCCGTGTCCGCCGCCGCCGCCCCAGCGACGGCCCGTCGCTGGCCCGCCGCCGCCTAGATTGCATAACGTAGATAGGTCATTCCCCTCCCCGCCAGGATTATCGTCCCCCTTTTGGCGTAGTGCAATCTGCATACGAGTCTGTCCCATCGCTCATCTTATGAATCAGTTGCTTCGCTCATCCTGCCGGCCCATATGGCCTCGCCGCTTGGGGGCCGGGTTTGGGGCCTCTTGGGGGCTTCTGGGAGGCAGCTTGGAGGCCTATTGCGGGCCGTGTTGGGGCCTCTTGGGGGCCTCTCGGGGGCCTCCTTGTCCTCTCGGGACATCGACGGGCGCCCGCGCCGCTCGCAGGCCACCACGAAGTCCCTCCTCCCCCATGGGCGGCAAACAGATCCGCGCGGCCTCGCGGGCCGGGCCCCCTGGGGCCGCGACGCCGCAGGTAGGTGGCGTTTCCTCGCGGGTGCCCCGCGCGGAGCGATCCGTGCGACCGCGTATATGCGGGATCGCGCCCCAGAATGCCGACTGCGAGGGCGCGGATACGGACATGTGCACCGCTCGTGACCTCCCCTCGTCCTCAGTCTGCAGTCAAATCGCGTGGTAGGGGTGAGCGACTTTCCAAGGCTACCCTTGCATCGTTCCCCCTCGGCCGATCCTTGGCCACTTCCGCTGGCCTCGCCCCGCTCGCAAAAAGTGCCGACATGGCCCGCCAAGGCCCTTGCAATTCTTGCATCTTTACAGTGCGGGCCCATGCCAAGAAACACCCTGCTCGCCCCCAGGGCGCCCTGGATTTTTTGGGTTTCGATGGTGTTGCTGTGGAAGGCGTGACTTTCCCTCGCCAAAGATCAGTGGACGTCCTGGGACCTCAGGGTTGGGTTTCTTGTGGAAGGTTTCTTGTGGACTGGCCTCCACTGCATCGCGCGTCCTCCTGATACGTGCTGACTGCATTCCTTACAGTCGAAAACCTAATAAGGACGCGCGACTTTGCTCAGGGTACCCTTGCGTCCTTGCTCTTCCTTGCTCTTGCGTCCTTGAGGTTTTCGTCGTCCGCCGCCCCAAAAATCCCAACTTCGGCTTCCAAGGGTCTTGCGTCCTTACCGCGCGTCCTTCTTCGGGTTTTTGACTGTATTCCTCCCTTGTCTCGGGGGCCTCATTGGGCAGTCCTGGAGCGCCGGAGGAGGCGAGCACGGGCACCCTCGCCGCCCTCCGTGGGCCCCGGGCGGAGCGCGAGCCCAGCGGCCTCCCCCCCTCAATCCTCTCTCCTCCTCCCCCTCAATCCTCTATCCTCCTCCTCCTTCTCCTCCTTCTCCTCCTCCTTCTCCTCCTCCTCCTCCTTCTCATCCTCCTCCTCCTCCTCCTCCTCCTCCTCCTCCTCCTCCTCCTCCTCCTCCTCCTCCCCCTCCCCGCCAGCCTTTCGGCGACACGCAAGAGTGACCCTTCGCCGGAGCGACCTTTGGGGTCCCCAGAGGGTCGAATGCGATGCGATGACAGCTGCCTCCCTGCCCGTGTTTTGGTCCCTGGGAAGTCCCGCCCGAGAGTCTCGCGCTTCCCTGCCCTGCTCCCCTGCCCGAGGGCCTCGCGCTTCCCAGAAGTCGCGCGCAGAAGGACACTCTCGCCCAGGGTCAGGTCGGGCATGTCCCTCTACAGGGGGTGCATTCGAGAATAGTTTAGAAAAGACTGGTGATGATTCTTCGTGCCCTATGACAGTGATTGTCTTGACTAGACTTGGGTGATCCGCGTGTAGGAGGACATGCCGGCCCAAGCCTAGGGTCACTCTTGCGTGTAGCCGAGCCTTGGGCTCGGGAGGCCGCCTGGCCACGCGGGGGGACCGGCGGCGGCGCGGGGAGTGGGCCGCGCCGCGCCGCGCCGCGCTGCTCCGCTCTTCAGCCTTTTTGGCTCCACCGGCCGCCATCTCTCAGTATCGTTTAACCGACCCCCATCCCCATCCTCACCCCCTTCGAGACCCCCATCAAATTACCACCCCAGTTTGGGATACCCCTCGAAACCCGAAGGGAACGGCCTACATCCCCATCTAGGGGGTAAATGGGCCGGTGGGGCCCTGGCCACGCCGCTGGGCATGGGGGTCGGATAAACGATGCTCAATCTGGGGCAGCGACGGGGGGGGTATAGGCAGCTTCGGGTCCGAGGCTCGAAGTTGGCGTGTTTTTTTTGTTTTCCCCCTCCGGCGTTTTCGTCCGTCCTCGGCGGCCCTCCGGCCTCGGGATGCCTTCCAGCGGCCGCGCCTCGCCGAGGCCCTTCCAGGGGTGCCGGGATCGTCCCGATCGGCCGCCAGAGGCCGGAGCTGCGGCCCGGAAACTGCCAGGGGGTAGGCTCAGGGGGGGATGGGCGTCGACCCCCAGGCGCCCATTGCATGCGATCGCGAACACGGATCAAGGGGGCGTGGATCAGCGACGGGTCCCGCTTCCATCGGAAATCGCGGAGTTCCGCCGCCGAACGAGGCGGCACCCGGCCGATCCATGGATCTGGCGACGGCGCGCCAAATCCATGGATCGCTAATCCATGCAAGCGCGCCCCCGACCATTTGTCGCCCATTGTCGGCCACGTGCAGAGGGGGGTCAGGGGGAGGGGGGGGGCCTCGTAGAAGCACCCCTGCTTCTTAGAAGGCGGGGGCTTCATCCGTAGGTGTGAGGCCGGCGCCTTCTCAGAAGCAGCCTCCTTCTAAGAAGCCTCCCCCCCTCCCTCCACCCCCGTGTGCGCGCCGCCAACATCGGCCGCCAATGGGGGCCCGGTAGCCCCAACTTGCCCAGGAACGTGCGGACTCACTACTGGGGATCTATCGCCTATTTGCTGGCGATGTATCTCAAGCAGTGGCGAAGCGTCCTGGCTCGCCTATAGGCCTACCAAAGAATGTTCTAAGGACCTTTTGTGGTCTCCACGAAATGTTATTAGATCATTTCTGGCTGGAACTGGCTTGTTTTAACACATCGGGTTTGTGTTCTGAGAACGTTGGTTTTGTTCTTAGAACAATTCTAGGTTCTAGGAACATGTCGTGTTAGGCCTATATGAATGCCGGGACGGTCGGCCCCTGCTCAAGTATCGCCGATTCCAGGTCGATGTTTCACCGGCGTCGAACCGACACCAGTACTGAGTGTGCATCGCCCCTTCAGGGGCGACGCCCGCGCCCCGAGAAGCCGTACAGCATAAGTCAGGAGGAGAAAAAACACACAGACACAATTCATCGCCGATTCCCCAGAACATATCGGAAAATATGGGCTGTGGGGGGACGACAGAAACCCAGAAAATATAGAAAATATGGGGAATCCTTTTATTTGTGTGTATTTATTTGTGTGTCCCAGGGCCCCTTCAATAAGCTCCGCGGCGGGCGCTTTCGGGTCATACCGTTTGGGAATCGACATGCTACAAGACGGTTCTACTACGGTGGGGGCACTGGATAAGGAACCCTTAGACAAGGAATCCAGGGTCTGGAAGCTGGTGGAGCTCGAATCGTGGATCGGCCATGGGCATCATCGCCGCCCTCATCAGATAAGGAGCCCTCCAGGGTCCGAAGCATCCCGGGCGCATTCCTCAACCAACGCCCCCACCGTACGTGTTCGAGCCGGACGCACGCCTCCAAGGAGGACGTATAGCACTGGTAGCTACATCCTGGTGCGTCCCAGGTCCCCCTTCTTCTAGTTCCTCCTCCTCCTCCTCCTCCTCCGGGTCGCCGGCTGGCGCCGGTGGCGTGCGGATTCACCATCGGGGGCCTGTCGCCGATCTGCCGGCGAGGCATCGCCGACTCCAGGCCTTTTGGGGGCCCCTTTTGGAGGCAGTTGAGGAGGGGAAAAAACACACAGACACCATTAATAGTCGATTCCCAAGAAAATATGCAAAAATATCAGAAGTGGGGGGGAAGACAAAAAACCCAGAAAAAGATTTGAAAATATAGGGAATCTTTTATTTGTGTGTATGTATTTGTGTATCCTGGGGCCCCTTGAGCGGTTGGTGCCCAAACGGGGCCCCAAAAGGGCCCCTTCAGGGCCATTTGAAATTTGGGCCACCCCCCAAGTACCACCCGCCCGAACTGTGCCCCTCCTTCTGCTTCGGAGGTGGATGGACTACCCTGACACGTCGATTCGTGAATTGGCCGTTTTCGGTTCGCGAGAGGGCGTCGCGGCCGTTAGTCTTGCGGGTCCAGGTCCGTCGGTTTCGGTCCCAGGCCGTTGTCACTAAGGGGAGGTTTGCTAAAGGGAGGTGTGTCCACCGCCGACTGCTGGCCCCCCCTCGTCGTTGGCCCTCTCGCCAGCCACCAGCTGGGCCCGCAGCACCGCCACGAACACACGAGGGCCGCTCCGTCGCTGGGGCCCCGGCGCCGCCGATCGTGCCGCTGCGCGCCGCGCCTGCCCAGCGTCGCCGCCTCTGCCGTCCTCGCCCTCGTCGTTCGTCGTCGTCCTCGTCGTTCGTCGGCGTCCTCCCCCTCCTCGTCCGAGGGGGGAGGGCGGGGGAGGAGGAGGAGGAGGGGAAGGATGAGGAGGAGCAGGAGGAGGAGGAGGAGGAGGAGGAGGAGGAGGAGAAGGAGGAGGAGGAGGAGGCAGAAGAGGAGGAGGAGGAGGAGGAGGAGGAGTAGGAGGAGGAGGAGGAGGAGGAGGAGAAGGGAGCAGTGGGAGCACCAGGATGCTCGTGCCCGTCAGCGCGGACTCTGACCGCCTCGCCTTCCAGAGCCTGGGGCCTGCCCGTCGATTGCCGCAGGGCGGTCAAGCGCGCAGGCAGGGCCGGGTTGCGGTCTGGGCATTGCTCGGGCGAGTGTACGTTTTGCCTCGGCGAGGACCACCGATGAGCATCCTGAATATCACCACCCACCAAACCACCCCAACCCAATCCGAAGGCCTCAATCTGTCCTCCATTTCCAGTGGGGTGGGGGTCGGGGAACACTGAAAACACAGAGGTACCCCTCCCCAACCCGAAATTCCGATCCAACTCGGGTCTTCGGGCTGGGTTGGGGTGGTCTGGTAGGTAGTCAGAATAGTCTCGCGCCAACAAAACGTTCAAAATCGAGACATGCACGGGGGGGGGGGGGAGGGAGGGAGGGAGGGAGGGAGGGAGGGAGGGAGGCCGCGATGCCGAGCGTCTGGCAAAGTGAGGGCGCAGCCCGCGCAGAGGCTGCCTGCCGACTCCGTGGGGGGAAGCGTCCCACGGGGAGGTTGCGCGAGAAGCCGGGTCGACTCGGCACCGCGACCATGACCCCTGCTCGCTGTCCGTCTTTCGTCGGTGCGCTGTGCACCGTTGCTGCCTTCTGGTGGGAAGCGCAGTGTGCCGAGGCGTGCTATATATTTTTGAGTTCAAAAGGCAAACACAACTAAGACAAATATACAAATGGCTGGCCCGGTCCAGCTGTTCGAGCTTCGCGGAGTGTGTCTTCACCTGCCTGGCTCCCTCCCGCAAAGCCCTTTCTTATTCGAGGTGGACTTTCGACTTTGCTGGTTTGGCCGCGATAGTTTTCCTTTTCCAATACCATGCGCCGCTTTCTAGCGGCGTCCAACAACGTCGTGGTGTCGCGCGAGCGCGCGACCTCGAAGAAGGACGCGCAGTCGACTTTCTTGTTGGACTTCCTTTGCCCGTGAAGAAGTGCTGCACTTCCTCCGGCCTGAAGCTCCTGACCGACTCGGCGATTCCAATTGGCATCTCAGTCTCGACAAACCCTTATGTAACATACCTGATGTGCTTGCACTATTATTATGTGCGAGGTCTTGCTTGCCATTGTACATTTTACCCTGGCATCGCCTGGGTCAGGTTGGCGACAGGGGTGACCTCGCACCGCGAAGTGGAAGCCCCCGACAACATCAGCACACCGTGGAGCAGAGCAGCGCGGCGGTCCATGGCCTCCCTGCTGCACCCCAAGCCTGGCGAGGGACTCTCGGATGGCCGCCTGTGAAGCTTGGGCGGGCAGTTCGAAGATGTCCTTCACGCAGACGCGGTGGGCATCTCGCTTCCGCCAGGAGACGCTGCCTTCACGAGCGGCTCCTGCTGGGGCCGGGCCGGGGCCACGTCTTTGAGCAGAGCCTCCGCCGCGGTCTTCTGCTCAGCCAGCTCGAGCATGGTGCCCAGCTGCTTGGCGAGAGCGGGGTCGGCCTTGATGCCGGCGGCGGCGAGGACGACTTGCTGGGCGTCCAGGAGGTGGGCCATCACACTCTCCCTCACTACATGACAACCCCCCTCACTACTGGTGGCGACAGCCCCCCCCCCTCCCCCTCTTTAGGGGCCGAAAAAAGAGGCGGAGGGTGAATGAGGGAGTGGAGGAACACGGGAGGGGGCCCGAATGAGAGGAGGAGGGGGAGGGGGAAGGCGACGGAGGGAGAGAAGGAAAGCGAGGGCGACGAAAAGGAGGAGGACGATGGGGGGGGGATGAGTGGGTGAGGTTCTCATATGTGCATAGGGAGGGCGATGAGGGACGCGGAGGAGAGCAATTATGCGAATCATGTATTTCTCTCAGCGTTTGTCTTCCTTTTGCTTTCTCCCCGCCCACGCGCGCAGCCGTTCTGGCCTCGAGGCGGCGAGCGCCGCTCGCCGCCTTTTTTTTTTTGTCTTGCCCTTTGGGCCTGCGGCGATGACCGCCGCCGAGATCAAGCTGAGCCCAGAGATACGGTATTTGGTGCTGGTCCTTCAGAAGAAGGACTTTTTGGGTAGAGCGGAGAGGAGGCGTAGAGAAGAGAGGGTAGGAGTTGGAGAGGGAGAGGAGAGGAGGCGTAGAGAGGAGTAGGGTAGGAGTTGGAGAGGGATGGGAGAGGGAGGGGGAGACGCGCGGCCCCTCTCGCGCGCGCCCCCGCCCTAGGAGCTCCCAAAGCCGACGAACGTACGCGACGAGCAAATGCACGAACAGTGCAAGCAGATCGCCAAGATCTGCCACATGCTGATCGAGGATCCGCCCCGCCGCCGAGGAGGAAGAGGAGGAGGAGGAGGAGGAGGAAGGCGATGACGCGGGCGTGGCAATGAGGGAAGCGCAGCGACGATGATTGCGATGAGGAGGGAGATGAGGAGGACGAGAAGGAGAATGGGGGGATGATGATGATGGTGATGAGGGACGGGGCCAGCGTTGAATGGAGGGCGTCAGATGTGGTGAACTGCTGGGGGCTGTAGGGCAGGAGTTGATAGCGATGGCGGATGGTGATGGCAATGATGATGGTGATGATGATGATGATGATGATTGTGATGATGTTGGAGGCGTTCTGACCCCCCGTGCCCGACGCCTGCCGAACCGGCAGCCTCCCCTACCCCCTCCCCCCCCCCGCCCCTCGCCCTCCCCGTCCCCCTCCTCGCCGTGCCCCACCTCGTCGTGCTCAACGCCGCTCCCCTCCCCGCCCCTCTCTGCCCCTCCTCGTCGCTCTCCCCTCCCGCCGCCCCTCTCCCGCGCCATCCCCCGCCGCGCGCAGGAGAAGGGGAAGATCAACACTGCCGAGATCGTATGCAGGAAGGCCGTCGACGAGATGCTCGGCGACAGTCCAGCCAAACGCACCAGCGGCGCCAAAAAACAGGAGGCGAAAGCTGAATCGTTATCGTCTGAGCCCCGCTTTTCGCCAGCAAAAGTCAAGACTCTTGGTCAGGTGCCAGCCCCATGGCTATTCGCTGTTTTTCGTAAAGTTGCTAAGCATGAGGTTTCCAGTGCAGTGGTGGATCTGATTTGCCAGAAAACTATATGGGTTCGGCAGACGACTACGTTCTTGACAGGACTCGGGGGGGCGGGTGGCTGGATGGGTGGGCAGCGGAAGGGGGGGCAGATCATGTCGGGTCGGCCAGCGCCCTCGAGGGGTGGGCGGGGGGGTCGGGGTAGGGATGCGGAGACATGCGGTTGATTGACGATGAGATGGAGGTGCGGGCGGCATCAGCCGCATGCACCTCCATCTCATCGCGTGCGAATCGGCTTCGGTGATGAGGGTGGGGGGGGAGGGCGGGGGGAGGCAGCGGGGTCGTCCTCGTCCTCGCCCTCGTCGTGGTCGTCGTCGTCGTCGCCGTGGTTGGCTTCGGCGTCGGCGTCTGCGTCGGCGCGGTCATTGTCGCGGCCGTGGCGTGGGGGAGCGGAGCGGGGTTGTATTTTGAATTAGGCAAAGGCTCGATGTAGCTCCCCCTACCCCTCCCGTCCTCCACAGGCGCGGACAGGGCTGAGGTCGACGTCGGCGACGACGACGACGACGACGACAACGTCGTCGACGCCGACGCCGACGCCGACGACGGCGGCGACGATGACGATGACGAGGACTAAAGCGGAAACGACGACGACGACGACGGCGGCGACGACGACCTCGACCACGACGAGGACGACGAGGACGACGATGATGATGACGACGGCGGCAACGCAGCGTTGGCGAGACAGTGGGCCCGTCCGCTCGGAGGCCAGGGCCGTCGGCTTCGCACGGCGCAGTGCGTTCGCAGCGTTGATGGGGGGAGGGGGGGGGCAGGTGGATCGGGGATTTTAGAAGGCGCGATCGGCGCGCCGCGCGGGCCCCAGACAGCAGCGATCGGAGCTGGGGCGACGACTTCGACGACGTCGACGATGACGACGAGGGGGGCCACGAGGGCGTGGACGACGACATGGACGACGACGACGTCGGCGACGACGGCGACGCGACGACGACTGCGATTCCGATTGCGGCTGCGACGACGAAGAGTTGGCGGGACAGCGCAGTGGGCTCGTCCGTTTCCAGCGCCAAAAGTTTCGCACGGCGCGGCACTTCGGCAGGGTAGAGGGGGGTGGGCTCGTAGAGAGGACGATTGGTTTTCGGCCAGCTCGCCAAGCGGACCCCAGGCAGTGGCGATCGGAGATGCGGCGTCATCAACGGCGGCGACGGCGACGATGACGAGGGCGACGATGACAACGTCAACGACGACGACGACCACGATCATGGCCACGTCCGCGGTGGACGACGACCGCGATGACCGCGGCGACGACGACGGCGATCCTCGTTCTGCTCGCTCTACCCCTCTCGGTGCCTCTCCGCGCGCGCCGCGGAAGGACTCCCGAGCACCTGGCCTCTGGCAGGGGATATGCTGGTCAAAGATGTGTTCGCTCGCTTCCTCTGCGACTGTACCCTCAACAGGGGCGTGCTGAATGTTGGCACTGGCTTTTTCCAGAACTGCATTTCTGACAATGAATTAGTATTCAAACCGCCCCATGCGGTCTACCAAGTTATCCTGGGCGGCGCTGGGGGGCCCTCGAGCGCCGTCGACAAGGACGGGAAGGGGCACTTGTGAGCGGTCGATGCGTGCTATTTGCGGTCGGTGTGGGGGGTTGCAGTTGCCGGAGGATGAGAACGGCGAGGAGTGCGGGGATGGGGGAGGGCTGATCACTGA